TACTTTGGCTATTGTCGATAGCTCTGCTATAACCATTGGGGTGTATGTGTCCTTTCAAATCAGCACTCCTGTATCCTCTGGATAAATACCTAGTAGTGCACTTGCTGGGTCATAGTGTAGTTCTATTTTCAACTTCTTGAGGAACTTCCACACTGTTTTCTAGAGTGGCAAATATTTATTCTTGCTGTAGTGAGACCACCCCTGTCGATAATCGACTGAGTTTGTCAAGCCAGGGAGCTGACAGCTTTAGAGAAGAAAAAAGTGTCCTGATTGGAGACTGGTTGACACAGGAAGCAGGACACCCTTTGTGGTTGGGTAGGGGGGGCATGTTTGGCTTTGTCTGGTTGGTCCAAAGGTGAAGGTGAGGGTCCGGGCAAAGATTAGGGGAGCGCTCGGTCATTAAGCTGATCCAGCCCTTCTGGGCTGATGGCTACACCACTTGGGGTTTCGTTTCCTGGTTATGGGTCGGAGCTCTCAGGTATGTTCTGGCTCCTGTCCAGATTCAGTCTGCCAGGCTGTCCCAGAGCTTCTCAACCTGGCACTATTGTCACTTGGGGCCGGATAACTCTTCCTGGAGGGGTCTGACCCACAAACTGAGCTGCTCAGGATCCACTTGGGTACATGCCAGCGGCACCCTCCTCCCCGCTCCAGCGTCAGCCAAAAGTGTCTCCAGGTGCTGCCAGATGTCACCAGGTGCGCGGCACCTGCCCCTGGTTGAGAACCCCTGTGTTACACCAGGATTTCTTGGGTTCAACAGCGTGCTGTCCACAATGTGCATGAATTTCATCGACGGCACTTGAGTGAAGGAAGCCACACAGAAGGGTTCCCGCAGGATGATTCAATCACGTGAAGTATACGACCAGGCGAAAGTTAAAGCAGCCTTCTGGGGTCGGGGGTGTCGTCGATGGCTTAGCAGGGGAGGCTGTGTATGCCCTCGGACCACAGCACATGCTGGAGTGGTTGCCTCTGGCCGGAAGAGAATGAGAGGGAGAGAGACTGCAATCCTCTTAAAGCCCTGCCCCCCCGCCCCCAGCATGACATCTGTCTTTAAGGTGCTAGTTGGTTGAGGAGTGTACACTGGAAAGTGCGGAGCGGTTGGCTTGGCTACTGGCCCGCTCTGAGGCCACCCAGGTTCTGAAGCTCAGGATGGATCAGAGATGCTAGAACCCCAACGCTGCCCCTGCACAACCTGAGGACACCTTTGAGGGACAGGTGCACAGCCTTATGGGCATCTTCCTGCATGGGAGCACCAAGGCCAGGTCTGACGGGTAACAAGTGCATAATCCCACAGGCTCAGAATCTTACGTGTTCCTGACAAAGCACAAGGTTAATGGGATTGTCTTTGGCTCATTCGCAGATGCTACAAGCACAGGGAGAGAGTGGTTAGGAAGGAAGAAGGCCTGAGAATTTCCTTGGAAGGGCTTGTGGTGTTTCCATTGTCTTAGTAGAGGGAGAAGCAAAAAAGAAAAAAAAAAAAAAAGAAAGAAGAGAAAAATTGGAGACGATTGGGGGACTGAAGATATTTGGGTGTTCAGGACATAAAATAATGGCTGGGGAGGTGACCAAAAAAAAATAAATAAAAAGGAAAACTAGAAAGAAAAATAACCAACTTCCCACTTACTGACATTGGCTAAATCTTATTAGCGGAACAATGATGAAGAAAAGACAATCACAAAATCAAGACAGAAGAAGCAGGAGAAAAGATAACTGTCCTTAGTAGTCCCATTATGTATATATGTATATCTTTATTGAGATATAATGAATACATTTTTTCCTCCAGCTTTACTGAGATACAATTGATACATAACATTGTGCAAGTTTAAGGTGTACACGAAGATGTTGATTTGTTACGTTTACGTATTGCAAAATGATGACCATCATGGCATTAGCTGATGTCTCCATGCTGTCAAGATTGTTTTTTGTGATGTACATAGTATCACACTTCTGTGTCTTCTGATGACTTTATACATCCAGGTAGGCTCCATCCTAATCAAGACATGAAACATCACCATCCCCAGTAAGTTTTACTGCCTCTTTCTGCTTAATTCCATCACACAGGCATTTTTGTGTCTTTTTTTCTTTTCATGGAGTATCTTGGTTTTGAAATGTGTCCAGGTTGTGTAGATCTCATATCTGTCCCTTGTTTGGGCATCGTTGCAAATGACAATATGTAATGTTTTGTGTCTAGCTTCTCTCATAAGGCTCTTTGTGGTGATGTAGAACCAAAGGGATTAGCAGTGAAACTTGCAGAAAGAATCTGTGATTCCAAAATGGGACAAAGGGAGTAGATATTAGGATCTTGACAGCAGCCAAAGTGGACTATTTTGTGGCCAATGGAATGGTCTGGGAGAGCCTTCAAATTGGGGCATATGCGGAGTTGGAAGGAAGGTATTGGATGATCTGTGTAAACCAGGGACGCAGGGTAGGCACCATGAGAGAATCCTGGAGATGTAGCCATGTTTCTCTTGGAAGAGCTGGTCTTGAGGTCCACCCCAGCTACATGCTCTTGTTCAGGTTCTGGTTTTTGCTGCATGTGCTTGTATTGGGCTTTCTTGAGTTTTGCTCTGTGGTTCTTGAACCAAACCTAAGGAGGAAAAGAGAGGAGCAACCGGTTGGTGAATCCAAAGGAGAGTCCACATGTTTTCATTTTACCCGATACCATGGACAGTGCTAGGTGAGCCCAGCTAGTTGTGCAGCTCTGCTTCTCAGATCCTATAGCTGCAAACTCTCCCGACATATGTGAAAGGGAGCAGGAATGGGAGGTGGTGGGGACAGAAAGTGAGGCAAGGGGGGCACCTGGGTGGCTCAGTCGGTTGGGCATCCGACTTCGGCTCAGGACACGATCTCACTGCTTGTGGGTTCGAACCCCGCGTCAGGCTCTGTGCTGACAGCTCGGAACCTG